CCATCTAGAGGTGAAAAGGTGCAACGTCACAGGATTTCTACAGGTTTACGCTTCATGTCAACTCAAAAAAGCACACATGATACAATCCAAGCAGCAGCATCGTTTTTCCTTCAAACAGAAAGTCGATTTTATTCCAGTTTCATGTTTTGAATTTAAATGTTGGGCTGTAAAATCCAGTTTAACCTGCAGCTTTGGAAACTGATGTTTTTCTCCTTTCAGAGGACAATATTGCCTCGCAATGTCACATGACGGGATTAAGGTAACGTTTGATTTTTTTTATTTTGACAAAAGAAAAGAAAAACATCCCTCAAATGACCGAAGCCCCAAATCTCTTGCTATTAATGCATTATGCATGAAGTGGTGACGTATGGATGTGTGCATGCATATGTCTACATATTTGGTGTATGTGTATTTGTACATGTATGTGTGCATGTACATGTCTATACTTATAGTTATCTGTTACTTACACAGTAAGAGTAGAATAGTTGAAATTTAATACTTGCATATTTCCACAAGCCTCATATGGATAGTAGATGGAAAATATATAACATGTTCAGAACCTCAGCTACTGTTGCAAGTCCCTGTTGTATTATCTTGTTTCTTTTGTATTACTTGACTGTATTCTGGTATACTCTTTGTATTCTTCTGCTATCTGTACCTGAGCTGTGGTAACGCACAGGTTTCCCTGCGTAGGATCAATAAAGTCTCATCTTATTGCAAAATCGCTTAAAATGAAACCTCTGAACAGCGTGCGTGAGTGCACACACCAGGCTGCTTCTCCACTTAGTTTGGTTGAACATATAGAGTGTGTAACATCTGATGCCCCAGTACCCGCAAAAAGTTGTGAAATTTAATTTAAAAAAAATACAGCACTGTGCAAAAGTTTTAGGCAGGTGAGGAAAAAATGCTGTAAACAAAGAAAGCTTTCAAAAACAAAAGCATTGTTTATTTTCATCAATCAACAAAATGCAGAGAATGAAAGAAAGAGAAATTAAATCACATCCACATTTGGTGTGAGCAGCCTTGGCCTTCTTCTAGGTACACTGGCTCACAGTTTTTGAAGGAACTCGGCTGGTAAGGACCAAAAAGCTCTTCAGAGTTATCCATACAGCAGAACGCTGCTGCAGGGCTGCTCTCCCCTCGCTACAGGACATTTACACCAGGAGATGCTGGTCCAGAGCAGCTCACATACTGAAGGATCCGTCCCATCCCAGCAACAAACTGTCCCAACTTCTGCAATCAGGCAGAAGGTGCAACACCACCCGAGCAACAGAGAGGCTGAAGAGGAGCTTCTCTCCTGTCATTGTTACCACATTCTCATATCACGGCTGAGCCTTCTGGCTTCACTACAGCACACTTTAACACCCCACTCACACAATGCTCAGATTTTGAACTGGAAATTTCCAGATTGTTTTATTTATATAATGTATGTAACTCACTCACTGAATATAATGTTCTCTCTCTTTTTGCACAGTCGAGCGTATCAGGTCACCTGCGTGTTGTACTTTTATTAGGGGT